AAAAGAAAAAACTAAGGCCTTGCACAAAAATGACTGCTTCATTTATACAGTACCCCTGTGGACTGCAAAAGGATGGAGTTTTGCTATTATAGCTAGGCTTTCCCACCCCAATTACTTGTAAAAAGCCATAATAATAGGAGCACAACAGGATCCTGGTTTAATCCATGTTTCTTGAGAACGAGATGGACAGGATATTCAACTTTAACCAAAATGTTCAAAAAAGGATGGTGGACATGTGAGCATACCTAGCTTCCAAAGTAGCAGCTGAATATCCGGAGGCTCTATGTTTGACAGTTCGGGAACTTTAATTACCAAGGTTAATGCTTAAGCATGTTTATTTTAGGCATCTAGGTTTGACAGTGTTGGCCTCCCCACCATATTCCAAATACCATTCAGCAGAACTACTTCAAATGCCATCAAGAACAGAATTAGATGAGGACTCAAGAGACCTGGATTCTATTCCTTACTCTAAGGCACTTCTCCAATGCTAAGCATTTCACATAGTGATACTGACCTCATCTGTATATAGTGCTGTCCTGCCATCAACCTTTATCCAGTCTGAAAAGCCAAGACTACTGCTTCATCTTGGCCATCCTTATAGAAAATGACTTCTCTCGGCAGCAGCACTGGAGGCTGAGCCCCGTTATCTGAAGATACCAATACATTCTATCTCCGCAAGTAACAAGGATTCCAGTCAACATTACTGGCATTTTTACTGCCAATAAGAGTACTTTTATACTAAATGCAGGATTCACAACAAAAATCCAATCCCCAAATTCAGATCAACGTCAGAAGTTGGAAGGGTTCAGATCATATTATACAGAAATATTTTTCCATTCATAACCACATGTGAACATCATATTTAAATTAAGTGTTTAGCATGTCTCCAACTTCCTCTGAAGTAGCTGATGCAACTCACTGATTGATTGTACAGGGTAAACTCTGCCTTCTTATGTGGTTGGAAGTGATTGGACAACCCATCTCTATACTCAGTTGCCAAACTCAAGCTATTTAAAGCAGCCCCACAGAAGCCTAACTTTTAAGAACTTTTTCTTTGTATCAAGGGATCTTACACCGAGCAAAAACTAGATAAATATTATAGTTCACTTTATTTTTAATATACATAATCTGACTCCATCAGAAGATTTGTACAGTCTTTTGCAAATTCAGAGAACCACTTATCATTCTTCATGCTACAATAACCTTAAAGTGCTTGCTTTATTTTGACTTCCAAAGTCCAAAGCAGTACTCGCAATGATTTTTAGGAAATTGCCACCACTTCACAAAATAACCCAGCTGAAATGAGAGGGGTTTATACAAGCAGCTCAGGTTGAAGCCTGGTGAAAGCAAGGTCAGGGTGAAACCCATCAAATGGCATCATGGAGATGCACTTTGAAGGCAGGTGCAACTCAAAGAATTTAGGACATGCTATAAGAGCAGTGATGTGACAGACTGGTTGGTTTGGATTGTCCATATAAACCAAGATTAAACTATAACCCTATGGGAAGAGGGCTTCATTTGTGAACAGCTGCACTGGCAACAAAAGAGTCATGTTGAGCTAGTTACAATTAGTTCATCATGCAGTGAGGACAGGACAGGCCCAAAACAATCTTGAAGATATGAACATAAATACTGGCTTTCATCTGAGAAAAGGAATACTGGAAAAAGTGTTCTCCCCCACCCCAATAAAAAAAACAAAACAAAAAACCCCCCAGAAAAACTGTTAGGAGTATGTGAACAGTTCTTGTAGATAATCCTCACTTGTGTTTTCACTAAGCTCTCTCTCTTGGAAGGCAATATTTGTAAAGGCCACACTGAGAATGAAACACTCAACTTCAGATAGCAGCTCACCTGCATCATCTTCCTCTGTGGTGTTGATCAAAAAGGGGAAGTCACCACTTCTTCATTATTGCTTTATAGGACACATTTACCCACAGTTGAACATGTTCATCTATAAGTTACTGGGCCTCCAGTAGGAAGGAAAGTTATTACCTTATGTAATTAGACTTTACTAGCATACCAAATTCTTCTCTAGGGTCCTATAGGAAACTAGAAAACTAAGGACGAAGTTACAATTTTGCTCCTTTTTGGTGCACTACAGATGTGCACATGTAGGTAAATCTCAGAAGTGCTCTGAATTATTCTGCCCCTGCAGTGTACACAAGAAGCAGAATGAGTCAAGATTCCATGTTAAATAGGTGCTTAGCAGAGCTGAAGGGCTTGCCAGCAGTCGTGCAAGGAGTGGTTAGACAGACAGGGTGTCACCAGGGCTCTAGTTAGCCCCCACAACCTGGCGTGTTGGCATGGCTCGAGCTCTTAAAATTCTGCGATAAGCTTATGAAAGTACTCATCACCTCTTTCATCTGAATTTAAAAACAAGTGTGTGTGGGGGGGAAGGGTACCATATCCAGAAAAATTAGATACAGTTGCTGGAAGGAGGAAAGCAAAGACCAGCTAGATACTTAGGATGCATGAGGCAAAGTAACATCTTTGAATCAAAAGGAAAAAACCAGGAGATTCAGGCTGACCCGAGGGAACAAGCAGCTAAATGATTAACAGAAATAAAGGTAGCAGCAGCAGCAATCTGCTTTTAGTTCGAGGCCAGAAAGGATTTTGCATTCCTTTCAAACAGCATATATAATCCTTTTATGTAATGCATTCATACCTTTATCTATTTTATTTCAGCATTTTTTAAATAAAACTATAAGCAGCCGAATAGAAAAAAGGTGAAAGCATCTTCATGGAAAAAGGAAGATTAATGCTGGAAGTAAGAGGGCATTTTTTCTTAGGCTTTTTCTCCAGTCCTAGTGACATTTTGTAGGGAACAAATATTGGTCCTAATCTTAATCTTGTGTTTGCCATCCTGGAGCAGTATTACTTTACTCCAAAGCCATACAGTAGCTTCAAGTGAGTCTGCATTTGCTTTCAATTATACACACAACTACATTATTTCATTTTGTTTTTAGTTTTTATAGTCAAAGAAAACCATGAACCCATTACTTCTGTTGGGGAGGGAGGAAGCAGCAGAGGCAGTTTGAAAAGATTACACAGATTGATAACCAGTACGACTTTTCCTTCTTCCAATGATATAAGAGATAAAGACAAGAATGATAAGGAAGCCAAGTGCCACACCCACTGCGATGGGGATAAGAAAGTTCAGGTCAGAATCAGCAAAGCACTCTTCAGCTGTAGAAAGAAAAAAAGGCAAGGGAGAGGAAATTAGTAAAGATTAGTAAAGCAAACCAAGCATTAGACCAAACAAGGAGCACAGAAGTACACATTTTTCTTATATTGCTGTCTCTAGATCTGGTTGTGACCAGTATCTAGCATCCAAAATTCACATCTTCCAAAACCTAGAGAGGAGCTAACATCTGCAGTTACAGGAACTTGCTGTAAACTTCTCTCATCCAATTTCCACCAACACACAAAGATTAGCCTACACCGATTACTCCTTGTTCATCTCTGAGCCAAGGTAGCCTGAACATTTAAGTAATTGGATTACTTACACACAGAAGGTACAATTTGAAGTGAAGACAAGGAATGTTTAGGAAGGGAAAGTATCAGTTATATTTAGCCATCCACATGGCAGCAGCAATGCTTTAAAAACCAGATATGCCTGCATAGCTGAAAGACTGAAAACACTGACAGACATTCCTTTGGCACGTACAGCTTTATTTTTAAATCCATCTGATACAAGAAAAAGTTATCAGTTTCAGAGAACGGTGTAGTACTTGTTGAAATCAACATGTGTTATCATAAAACAACTCTAACGTTATACAGTATTCTGGATGTATAGCGTTGGAATATACACTATTAAAGAGTTAGTACAGTCTGTTTTGGAGCAGACATAGGACTGGGAGCCAGCTCCAATACTAAATACAGGCCTCAGACAAATGAGAGCACCTTTAGAAAAAAAAAGGTTTACCTGCACACCCCATGAAGGCTGAAGGACCAGTACGACTTCACTTTGCTAAAGTCAATGTTTACCAACAGCACTAAAATGCAAGATTCAGTCCGAAGCCTGTTACTGCCTCCTGCTGATATGCATCCTGTATCAATCTTTTGAGTTGAATCTTGCCTTGTTTTTGAGCATTTTGAAGAGCAGGATTAAGTTCTGCTGAAGAACTGATTAAATTGTTCTGAAGAACAACTTTTACTTGGTTTTAGATTTGAAAAGAAAAAGAGCAGTATCACGCACAGACTTAATACCATGAAAAAAAAAAAGAAAAGAAAGAAAGATACCATGGGGGTAAAAAGTAGCAACTATTGCCTTAAAGGCCTGCCTATATGAAGCCAGTCTGTCAATGACTTAACCTTTATCCAATGGATTTACTGTGCTTAATTTAGCTCCGAGGCAGACAGTAACTTGATAGCCAATTACCCCCATCATCCTTTTGAAAGAAAAACTGGAACTTGAAATGCAATTGGATTAGATGCAACAGCTACAAAAAAAATGTGGGCCCCAAAACCAAGTTCATCTGAATTCAGGACAACTTGAAGAAACATGCACCTAAAGTTCAGAAAAAATGAGTATTATTATGAAGCAAGCTATTCCTAAAATGATCAGAACCCATCCTGAAAAGTATTTAAGGAGCCAGTAGATAAAAAACCCCAGCTTTTGTTTTAGTTGCATTACTTTAAAAATAATTGTTAAAAGAAAAAAAACAAACTCTTTTACAAAGAGAAAGTTTCTTATAAAGGATTAATGGACAACACTGACCAATTTGTTACTGCATGGTAGATTTAGATCATTAATATTGACAAGTTAATTTAACACTGAAGAAAGGTGATTTACATGTAGTATTAAAATACCTCCCTCCTTCACAGGAGGGAGAAAAAGTATGCCCATTTAAGCTACAATTAGGAGACGTTAGTTGTTACTGGAAGGGCCCTTGAAGAACTAAAAGATTAAATTAAAACCTAACACACTCAATCCATGCCCTTTCATCCAAGTTTATAAAACTGTCCAAATTATCTTCCAAAAGATAACTAATATTAATCACTAAATATGAAAGAATGAAGCTGCGTAACAAATATTCCCAAGGAAGAGCTTGCACAAAGTTACTGCATATTTAAGCTTTAGAAGAGTAAGGCTTAGATTTTAAAAAAAAGGCAAACAGTTCTATCTGTTTCACATATCTTATAGCCTGGCCCAGAGGTTCTAGCCACATGACTAGGTGATCTTCCCTTTTCCTCTTGATTTGCAGCTTTTGAAGTACACTTTGTTAAGAGACAGTCATAAGGTTAATTAAGCACTAGCCGAAAGATTACAGTATTTTTGTAGGCATTGGCTTTGGTACAAGATTAAAAAAAGAAAGCAAAAGCAAGTTATACTGAAATAATTTCCCTTAGAGGACTAGAGGTACAGAATCTCTAAGCTGCAAAAGTGAAAGCCAATTTTAACAAAGTCTATTATGGGTACTCAGAACACACCCTTAATATTTAGCTAACTGTATAAAAGGCACAGCAAGTAATAAAATCAATAAGCTGCAAGTATATAGATTGATTACATACATTAATACTTGAAGATAGCCACAGCAAACACAAAGTGCTATTTACACAGAGTAGGAACAAAACTACACATTTATTCACATAATGCCATGGTGTACATAAAGTCATAGGATTACTGAAGTGGTATTTTTGGAATAGACTCAAAAATTTAGTCCAATTGGCTGTGGACTAAACCAAATCACTCAAGTTGGTAGTGCTACATTTGATTTAAGCCTTCTTAGCCAGAGGTCAGTTCCCCTCCACCCCCATAAAAAGAAGTGTTGCCTTAACTGTGCAGGTGTATGTTACCAATTTGTGGGTCTTTAAAAAGAAGTTTCTGATAAAATAAAGGCTTTCCCATTTTTAAAATTGTTCGTATCCAGCATTACGGTGTTTCTTGTGGCCAACAAAGTAAGCCATAAGCACTAGAATAACTAATCCTCCCAAAGCTGCTCCCACTGCTATGGGCACAATGAAGTTGTCCACATCAAGGCTGCAGTCTTCCGCTAGGTAGAAAGAGGGCAAGTTTGAAAAAGTAGGCATGTTAAACACTGCCACCTCCCCATCGTTCAGATAGCCACCCTCCTCTTCATCTTCTGCTACATTTCCCCTCCAAATAGATCCCATTTTGCAGGAACAGGATGGTCACACCTCCCATTTCTGGATACTCAATGTTTCAAGCCCAAATTTCCAGAACCCACTTCTAAATTAGATGGTAGGGGTTTATGAATGATTAAATTAAAAAAAGTCACATCCATTTACTTTTACAGTTCTAGAGTTTAGCCCTCTACAGTAATTGGTTAGGATTCCCAGAGCAATAAAGCAATAGAAAGCACTTATTCTGAACCTCATTTTTTCCCCCTTTAGCATTCTGGGCAAACGAAAGCCATCTAGCTCTTAATAAGAACCTTTTTGCTTTCCAAATAAAATGATCTGGAAGACAACAAAAGTTATCACCCATGTCTAGGGGCAGCCAGATGATTTAGGAAGATTATATACAATTTGCAATGGTTAACCTTAATGTTCTCATCCAGGTTGATTTTAAAAGATGCTCAGAAGCATGAGGTGCTTGGATGCTGCTGATCCATGAACTCCTTTAGTCAGATTTCTCTCCTTGAGGAACCTAGCTTTAGGCCATTTTGGAAGTCCTGAATATCTCCCCCCCCCCCACACACACCTTTTTTTTTTTGGAAA